TATATATATTATATATATATATATATATAATGTATTTGTCTGTGTTTCGCTTTCGTGACACAGTTCGGCAATTCGTGAAGTCGAATGTGGTTTGAGCCTGCGCAGAGGTCGATAGAGCAGGCAACAGCGGGTGTTTGCGGTCATACAACCTCAGTGGGCCGCTGTTCCGTTCACCCGACACGCACATACGGGCATCCAGGTCAGTCGGCCGCCCAGTTCCACGAATAAATCCCGGGCCCGCCATTTGGTTGCATGATGTGGTATCAACGGTACCACACCGGTAACCCCGCGTCGTTTGAGCTTTCACCATCATTGATTAATTCCCGGTTCGTTGCAGCACTGGCGCAATGAGCGAGTATTAACAGCCAGCCGGTGAGTTCGCTTTGTCCGTAGACCGGCGCTGCTCGTTCCGATGTTGCAACCATACACCTGCGGCACACTGACTGACCTGCTTGAACTGTTCCTCGTAGTTCCAGGAGGCGTGATTGGCGCTGCCCTGGCGGGGCGACTGTGCCGCCGAGCTGACCGGCGGGCTGACCGTGTCACGGGCCGGCGGCGAGCTGCTGGCCCGGCCGCCAGACCCGCCGTACCCGGCCAGACCCAGGCCGGGCAGCGGCACCAGCGACGGCGGGTTGTGCGCCATGGAGGCGGCCAGCAGCGACTGCGGCGACAACGGGTGCCGCTGGAACGCCTCGGCCGCCGCCCGAGCCTGCGCCGACTCCGGAGTGCGGTAGTCTGGCGGCTCGGCGTCGCTGGTGTCCTGTGAGGAAGGTCACGGTGACACTTTATGCAAAGCTCTCGCCAAGTTTTCATGATTTTTGTTGCTGTATTTGTTTTTGTGTGTTTTTGCTAGTCAGCCACAAAGACCATTTCACTATTTTCACGCACGGAACTCACACCGGCGGTCTGACCAGGCATATTATATAACGAGCAGTTGGAAGAAAGTAACCAAATGAGGCGCGTCTGGCTTCACCCCATACCCATAAACCAAACAGTCTTTCCCTAGCCCTCGTGTAGTTCTCACCACATACTGAACACTGACCCACAGGCAGCCCGCGCTGAACAGTACAACCGCCATACCTTTGCATTTCCTTGAGCCACGTTCGCCACCTGCTGCTTCAGCTGTTCCATGACATCCTGGTCGGAGGACGAGTCCTCATTCGCCTCCGCCTCGGTCCTCTGCTGCGGCGTGGGTGCCCGCGAGTCAGCTGAGCCGGGCTCGGAGGCGGGCACCCTGCGGGTCACAGCCGGCGAGACCGTTCAGCCGCGGGCGACGCCGACTCTCGACGACGTCGAGCAGGCGCCCCACAACATCCCTAGCGACAGCACGCCAAGACACGGGCGCCGTGCGGTAGCGTACAGAGATACACCCGGAGTGATCCCGTCCCCTGGTCCGTTGCGTCAACAGCAAGTGCACATTGAATCCGTCATTGCAAGGGGCAGCAACGGCGCCGTGTATTGGTTCGCATTGTTGCAGCCAAGGTAGCACGACGGGGGAGGGGGGTCTGAGGAGCAGATACAGTTCAGTAGCTTCGTGACCACTTTGATTTATGACCTGGCAAAATTTGGAAAACACTTATGTCTGTTGCATCACCTAGCGTTCTAAGAGCTCTTCCCGCACATTTGTAATGTTTCACATGAGCCCTCAGGAAGCGTCCTTGTGTTGCCGCAGCTTCCACCGTTGCAAAACTTACTCGACATTTTGTGGATGCACCTGTCCGATTAATACAGGTTATTTGAGCTCTAACAGCTCCAGCTAACCTCTCGTCGTGCACAGGGTTGGAATGAGTCCGCCTGCAACCGTTAGAGGCGCCGCTGGCACCACCTGCCGCACCTTCAGCGTGGCGTTAAACGCTGGGAGGCCAACGGAATAAATAAATTACGATTATGGAGACCATCGGGCCCCGTCGTGACTGGCCTCCGCGCCGGCTGATGGCCTGGGCGGGTCTTATGTGACAGCGCACGCTGGGCAACGTCGAATCTAATTAATTTAGGACGATTCTTGTTTGTTTCTGACGTGCGGTGCTTCATCACGGAACACTTGGTAGGGGGCGTCGGCGGGCGGGGAGTGACCGATGCTGGGAGGGAGAGAGGAGAGAGAGAGGGGGAGAGAGGAGGGTGAGAGAGAGGGACGAGGAGAGGGAGAGGGAAGAGGAGAGAGAGGAGAGAGAGAAGAGAGAGAAAGAGGGAGAGAAAGAGAGAGAGAGAGAGAGAGAGAGAGAGAGCGAGGGAGAGGGGGAGGGAGTCCATACCTAATCGTGAGAACGGGACTCGACCGGCGGATCCTCTGACATCTATCTAAGGGTTGTTCGCGGTTCCCATCAGAAGACACATCTGAAATGCTTTCACACCCTTTCCGAAGTGTCCCTTATTTCCTCTCTGCAATTTGCGTTGTTCTGACAGCGTGATCCGTACACCACAGTGAAGGCGTGCCGTTTAAATGATCTCTGAGCGTGCGCGTGACGGCATCGTCGGACCTCTGGGGTCTTCTGCGGTCCGCGGCGTTCGTCTGCGGACCCCGGGCGGCCGGCGGTGCCCGTCTCTGGAGCTGATCCGAGGCTGCGCCCGATACCCATTGTTCCCAGTCTCAGCTGTGGAATGGTATCGCCTCATCTTCTCCAATGAATGCGCATCGTACAGCGAGCTGATTGGCCCGGGAGTGCGTCGCCAAGGCAACGCTTCCGTGGGCGCATTCATTCAGTGGTAAACACCGCAGTCAAAGGTCCGCCGCCCGCTATCACACGTGCATGTTTGTGAGATCAGTTCAATAAAAAGCGTGTGTTTGTCGTGGCCGATGCCGATACTTATCAAGGGGCTCTGGAGCTCCAGCTGGGAACGGCAGGGTTCAGGAAATATCTGCTCCGACATCTGACGGTGTTCGGAGTGTTGCTGACCACATGAACCAGGTCTCGAGCACTCCGTTCAGAACAGGATATACTCAGAAGCCTCTCGGGTCCATGTTGTCTGGTTCAGGTCAATGTTTCTAAGTTTGGAGACAAGCTTTTTCAGGGGCCTCCTTGACAAACTACGGGCCTTTTTAAAGGGGCCTCCTCCACAGTGCCGTATTCAACGCAGGGCACCACCACCCCAAATTTGCCTTACATGCATCCATGCTCATGCGAATAAGTGTCGACAATCCAAGCAGGGAGAGGCCTCATGATTAATGCGAGGATTCCCGATCCAGCAAATAGACTCCCTTTCTGAAGACAGGGTCTCCAGTTCCATAAAAGGACCCTTTGATGCAAGGGCGAGCCTCTTTGTCTAGAGAAGAATACTTTATATATATATATATATATATATATATCCTCTTGGTCAATGATGCATGGTGTGCCTCCTAATCCAGACCAGGCGATTCATAACGGGGGCTTTACGAGCCAGCAAAGTGCCTCCTTCACACCAAATAGAGCTTCCTGATTCACAAAACGGGTCTCTTGATGTCGAAAAAGGTTTTCTGAGCCTGAATTAGTAACTCATAGCTCAGTTGTGGGGTCTCCTTCATGATAATTTAGGTAAGATATGCGTGGTCGCACAAAACCTTCAGCTTGGCAAAGAGCGCCTACCAGAATTTTGGGGGGCAAAAATATATTCCCTCCAGACAGGAAATAGGTACCAAGGTTCTTAATGCCAAGCTCTCGGATTCTAGGAAAAGCCCTGGTGCAGCCTTTTCCAGATCACCAAAGGACCAGGGGGTTTAATCAACCGCGCCACTTAATGGGCATAAGGCCACAGGTATGTTTTCGAACGAACGCACCTAGAAAATCGGTTGGGAAAGGCAGATGTCCCTTGGATAGGTTGGCCACCGCTGGGATGGTTATCACTCAAATTCCATGCCTCCCAAGACCGTGTCCACTTGATTTATGCGTCATTATTTGGCAGGGAAAGTCAAATAGCTATGCAAATTTCCCATGTTCTCCGTCTGCCGCGGGGCAGTGCCGCGTCGCCTGGCAATACTGCAGCACTGACAGCGCGTCTGCACGGTCCGACCGCTCACCCATTCTTCACACCTCGTCAGCCAGCTCGCAGCCCGGCCGTGCATTCCGATAACATTCTCGGCGCATCTCGGACGCAATTTGTACGTAAGCTATGCGGGAGATGTGTGAAATATGTGCCGGCGGTGGCCGGGCGCGCTCGGCGGGGTCGGCGGGGGTCGGCGGAGCTGGCGGCGCCCGACGGCGGGGGGCGCCGCCGCCCGGCGGGAGGCGCCGACACGGCCGCCGCTCCCAGCGCCGTGACCGATACAAACGAAAACATTTAGACTGGTCACAGTCGCCGCAGGTAGCGTCCAGAGGACGCATGGCACACACGACTCGAGGCAGTGAAACGTGAAGAGCAACGGTGTGATTAGGAGTCACGACGTCTTATATCACAGCAAATCGCTCCTAGAAGCAGGAAAGCCTCCCAAAGGACGGGGGGGGGGGGGGGGCGTTGGCTTTCTGCACCGTGTGGCTCCGGCCGTACGCGAAGTGGCGACATCCGCGCCACTCGGCGCCTCGGGAGGCTGGTCGGCCCGCGCTGTTGATCGGCGCGGCGGTGCGGCGCGACCAGGCTGTCTATTTCTGTCCGGACAGGACCGTCGGGGTGGTCCGGGCCCGGCCGCCGGCGCCGTCCCGACCCGACAGGTGGCCGGCGGAGGCGCGGTCGTCCCCGCCTGCCGCCGCACGAGGCACATGCCCGCCTACCAGCCACCGGCAGTGCGGCTGACCCACGGAGGTTCGGCTGACCCACGAAAGTTTGACTGACCCACGGAGGTTCGGCTAGACCACGGAGGTTCGGCTGACCCACGGAGGTTCGACTGACCCAGGGAGTTTCGACTGACCCAGGGAGGTTTGACTGACCCAGGGACGTTTGACTGACCCACGGAAGTTGGACTGATCCACGGAGGTTTTAACTGACCCAGGGAGGTTCGACTGACCCAGGGAGGTTGGACTGACCCAGGAAATTTGACCGACCCAGGGGATTTTGACTGACCCAGGGAGGTTTGACTGACCCAGGGAAGTTTGACTGACCCAGGGAGATTTGACTGACCCAGGGAGGTTTGGCTGACCCAGGGAAGTTGGACTGACCCGGGGAAGTTTGACTGACCTAGGGAGGTTTGGCTGACCCAGGGAAGTTTGACTGACCCAGGGAGATTTGACTGACCCAGGGAGGTTTGGCTGACCCAGGGAAGTTGGACTGACCCGGGAAGTTTGACTGACCCAGGGAGGTTTGGCTGACCCAGGGAAGTTTGACTGACCCAGGGAGATTTGACTGACCCAGGGAGGTTTGGCTGACCCAGGGAAGTTGGACTGACCCGGGGAAGTTTGAGTGACCCAGGGAGGTTTGGCTGACCCAGGAAGGGTGGACTGACACAGGGAGATTTGAGTGACCCAGGGAGGTTTGGCTGACCCAGGAAGGGTGGACTGACCCAGGGAGATTTGACTGACCCAGGGAGGTTTGGCTGACCCAGGAAGGGTGGACTGACACAGGGAGGTGTGGTGACCGGCCCACCGGCCGCCGGGGTGTGGCTGACCCCTGTGCAACCTGCGGTAGCTGGCACACCGGCTGGCTGGGATGTGGCGGGTCCACAGGCTGGTTGGGGTGCGGTCGAGCTTAGGCACAACGCGCTGGGGCACAGTTGGGCGATGCAGTCAGTCGCAGAAAACTGTGCCTACGTACCTTTATTTCCTGGGCTTCGCTGGATAGGACAACAGCGATTCCGATCAGGCAAGAGACTGGGTGTACAGCCAACACAAATAGCGGAAACAGTGCACAAGCTTTCCTTGTTTCCATGGTCGGAGGCCGCCAATGACTGTAAACCAGCTGCCATAGATAATGTTCTGCCTAACCGATTCAGAGCAATTTTAAAGTCTTGACTGAGAGGGGGAGGGGGAGTCAAAGGCTCCGATTTGTGTTTTCTCTTGAGCTCGACTCGTTGTACATGGGCTTTATTTACGAGGTAACCACGACAGGGCCAAGCCGTATCACGTTAGCCGCTGCTCAAGATTAGTGACGTCAGTAGCGATACCGTCACTGAAGTGATTGTGACTTGTGTAGAAAAAGGGAGAACAACTGGCTACCCTGACACGCCGATACTTTCTTTTGAAGAGCGCAGCCCGCCTTTTTGCGCTTTTCACTCATAGGTAGATCAGCGGGGTTCAAGTTGGTCGGATGGTTGGTCTCTAAATCCTTCTGAGCATCTCAGAACCTTGATTTGAAGCAGGCGCTCGTAGGAGAGAGATCTTATTGGACTCACTGATAACCACTCACTAATAGTTTCTATTTGTGTGAATTTTCACAGCATGTGTGTTATACAATGTCCACAGCAAGTCACGTGACCAAAATGTTTAAGATATAAATGGTGCGAGAGCTTGGAACACTATTCAGGGAAAAACGCTATCACACAAATTTAATGGAAACAGCGTAATGGTTTGAATTTCTTTCCTATGGCGTCTGGCGCAGTGACGCTCTTCCAAAGATGTCTTGGTTTTCAGAAGCATTGTTTATTTTGATGCTCATTTCTATGCAACGTTGTCTTTACAAAGTAGTATATATACCAGTAACATATCACGTGGCTTAGTGACGCACGTGTGTCACCAGCGCACTTCTTGCTAAATGCTTACGCCCATGCTCTGCCGAATCACAAACATTCGATCCTATTGAAGTCCTTTATACCCAACCCACACGCAAATGCAAAATACACTTACATCTGCAGTCATGCTGATTGGAAGGGCCATGCAAAGTAAATGCACATATTTGGTTCCACTTTGCCACAAAATAGTCTCATCCTGAGCAAACCAAACCTTAAACAACATGACATGACAGTAAATAGCATGGCCTATACCGACGATTGAGCAGCCAAGCAGGAATGGTACTGAAAAGACATCTTAATTGAAAAATGGGCTGAAACTGCTAATTTTCTGTGGAAGACGCAACTATACGCATTTTGCGGACAACATGCGGGGGGGGGGGAAAGTTCACCAGCTAAATTAGGGTACGGGGCGTAGTTTCACAAAATGGGTCGTGAGCTGACCAGTAAACAATTACACATTCTACCCAAAAACATGCCAATAAACGGGCATCCCACCGGATTTGGCCCGCTTTCTTTACAAAGTTGGAGGAGCCCACATCCGGGGAGCTGAAGATCAGCTGAATAGGAAGCTACGCCTGTATTGAGAGGCATGTTTTCCTGTCTCTCCGATCCCGCATATGGTTACACCCATGGTAACCATGGATATAAGTGGCACATGAGATACTAGGCAAGGGCTATGTGAGGACATATTTTCGGTGACACGAAAAAGTAGTTTCTTTGACAGTGGAAATTCTGGAAATTATTCCACAAGAAAAAAGATGATATTGCATCCTTCTAAATGCAAAACAGAAGGTTGAATAATTGCCAAAAAATGGTTTGAATACACTGGACATAATGCTTGGTGCAGCTTCCATGCCTGTTTTCCTCACCTCGTCGTCAGCGCGGCGCTGGCACTGCTGATGCTGCTGTTGCAGAAGCTGGCGGTAGCGGGCGGCCACGCCCCACGCCGCACCGTTCATGTCGCCACCCTGTGGAGGGAGGGGGGGGGGGGGGGCGTTAGAATGTTAGGACTACCATGTTACAAGCATTTCTTGAAACCTCGCTTCGGCGCACCTTACGCGCGTGCCAGGAAGCCCGCGTCCAAGTATACTCTATAAACCAAACCGAAAACAAACTCTTCTTTCCAATAGGTTAGGTGATTTATTGCTGCACAAAGCAGTCGCGTGGTCTGACTTTGATTCATTTCACCGCGGCTAGTCTTAGGTGTCCTTTCAATGAGTTTATTCATAGCTCGATGAGACACATGCCTTCACGGCTATATAGTGCAGTACTTCGTGTGACATCATGAATGCACACAACGGCCTTAAAATCGGCGGTTTTCAGCAACCTGTACGTTTTTGGCGTAATCCTGCAACGAGCTGTGAGTACGGCTCATGAAGCATGCCACCCAGACCACCATAACTCCGCGATTCAAAACTACACCAGGCGTATGCTCCGTGAAATAAGATTTTACTAAACTGTCGCAAGACAAGGGCGGCCTACGAGCATATAATTCACAACTAAATGTCGGTTGAACGGACTCAAATTTTCCAATTCGACACCAAAAATGATCCATTGGGAACCAAGACACCCAGCGCACGCCGAATGGTGTCATGTACTCCCGGTGTCGAGAAAACGGTGGGCAAAAAAGTCAACCTTCTGCGCGCGCCCCGGGGCCGAAACCCTGTGGTAAGCGTTCAGCTCTACACCAGCCGCCGTTTCGGTCCGGGCCGTCAATGACGTATCGTGCCACCACCTGGAGTAACGTGCCACCGCCTGACGTGAAGCCACCGTCTAACGTGACATGCCATTGCCTGGCATGAGGTGTCACCGCCTGACGTGACGTGACGTGCCACCGCCTGATGCGACGCGCCACCGGCCGAGGTCACCCCCATGACTGTGTGAACACATCACCGGTCGGTGCTGACTATTTCCAGGGGAGATACTCACCCTTGTTCTGATAAACCTCGTAAGTACTGAGGATGCCCAGGTTGTGTGGGAGTGCACTTACTTGCATCACCCAACGTCGGGAAATCAGGTTAATGAATGACATCACACCCAGCGGCAGAGGGATCTGAATGGCCCTTGAGTGAAACCCACACGAGCGGGCACGTCCCCCACATCTGGTTACGACCAGAGTCCTTCTGCCGTGCTGTCCCGACCCTCGCCAACGCCGTGACGTCACCCCTCTCCCAGGACGGATGACGTCATGTCGGCAGTCCAGCGCCGATGTTTAGCAGTGGCGCTCAGCAGAGCTGGGCGCCACTGTCGGCCGCCGCCAGCAGGCCAGCGGCGGCCAAGCTCTGTTGGCGGCCCTCGAGCCGCTGCCGACGATCGCCAGCCGCTGCCCACAACCGCCAGCCGCCGCAGCCGGTTTTTAGCGGCCGTTACTAACGGGGGCGCGGCGATCTGGGTCCGTCTTCGACGCCAGCTGACGCCGCGGTCTTCAGCTCGTCAGAGGCCTATGACGTCATGCGGGTGCTGGCGGGCGGAGCGCTGAGAGTCGCATGTAGGGACAGCCGACTGTGAGGACAGTCATCTCTAGGGACGGCCGGCTTCTTGAGCGGACGGTCAAGCATTATCTCTCCGAACTGTCGACACTTATTCACAAACATGTTATTGCAAGCAAATATTGTACAAGGGGGAGGGGACGTGTCCCACGTGCCTCCTCCTTGAAGACGCCCTGGGCAGGGGCGACGGTGCATGCAGCATCCAATCCTTGCACAGCTCATAACGGCGTGGCGCTGTGAGCCATTGCCAGAAACAGAAAAATAATTTCCAAGGGCATTGGAGAGAACATTACCTACCATAGGATAGGCCACACACCAATGATGAGGGGGGACATTATTCGGACCTCAAGGCATACGAGCGATCTACGAGCATATCATAAATGGACAAAAATTCTGCCGGCGCGACGATGCTTTTAAATGATAAATGTTGCGGGCTCGTTCGCTAGGCAATGTAGCTGATTCCTAGGAAAACATATACCAAGACCTGTTGCACCCTCTGGAAGATTATTGTTTGCATTGTTTCGGAATGCATTTTAACATCATACATACGATTTCCTGGCTGATCCCACCTCTCGCCGCCGGGATGGCTGACGGAAACCGAGTGTGCTGTGCTACCAGGAACGTATTTGGGCCGTAGGAAACAAGCTCCGTCAATCAGCCGGTTTTACGTGCAATGCATCAAGGGGGAATCGCTTACAACCCTGACGGAAATCGGTCGGCGACCGATTGCCTTTTCACCCGCCTTTTTTCTACGCGCGTGCGTGCTGGAAGGTGGTTAGTGCAAATGTCTGAAGAATGTCGTGTTATATACTTTAAGAAACAATCGCTTAAAGGAATGTTCCACATCAAGGTATTGGAGCAAGTATCAGATGTGACGAAATAAGTCACATACTTCTCGATGCATTTTGATTAATTACGTCATCATTCCTTGCACAACATTCGTGGATAGCCAACTGGCGTCCGTTACACCTGAAAACTTAAACCTTAATCATAACCTTCATCCATTTCCTCATAGTTATACGGTAAGGATTTCTGAAAAGGGAATCGCAAGGTACAGGACAAGGTACAGAGGTAGGGGCTGTCGTGATGCCCCCCCTTCCCCTCCCCTCCAACCGGCTTTTTTTGCAGTATGGCACGGCTGCGCACATTTCGAGCTTTCGTATGGTCCGACTTAACCTACCAATTAGCGGTCTTTCCAAAAGGACATTTCCAGAAAACATGCCGGATGTTACGAGGATGTTACAAAAACAGCTTTTTGGTAAATAACAAGCGAAGACTTATGAGAGCTTCTTCGTCCATTTTTCTGTAATGTCGCCCCTGCAAAAATCCGCATCCTCACAAATGAAATTTGGGAACATTCAGCACTGTGCGCTTATCTTCACTCGATCAGAAGCTCATATGCCATCTTTGAGCCTCATTTCCGAGACAGAGCTACGCATTGCGAACAGGCTAAACTCCGGGCCATTATTTCTTGAACCACGTCGAGCATCGTGCCAAAATGGACAAGGCTCTTCCGGTACGCATCAATTAACTCATCCAGACAACTGCACCGGAGCACAATGCAAATAGAAAATAGCAAGACACGTGCAGCTCACGTGACAGCCTCCTCTGCTGGCTCAGACCTGTATCCATTACACTCCTTGTCAAATTATTGGTGATACAAACGCATCAAAACAGAAAGCATCATGCCGTAGCGTGACCAGATAAGCTTCGAAGATTTCAGTTCCCACGAGTGTTGCGTGGCTGTTACATTTTGATCTATGCTGATATCCAGAGACTACGTCACGGTTAAAAGTGTTAAGAGGGCATCCATGCTTTTGTAAGGTCATAAATTCCGAACAAAACTGTGAGGGTAGTGTTCAAAGCAATGTTTTACATTTGAAGGCATTGAAGCAAGCATAAGATATGATGAAACGAGCTCATTTACAACTATAAGTACACTCCTTTAGGTGGAAAAGACTGTGCTGGGCAACACCATTCTATGTTTAGTATATATGCTTCTCAATGCGTCATGGTTTGATGACGTCATCGCACCCTTCACAACATTGATCAAGAGCCAATTGACGGTCGTTATATCTGGAAATTGCTCTCACGAACGCCAGATATGAACACTTCGACAACAATATTATTTTTGACCTTGATGATCGCATGGCTTATGGAATGACGGAATTTGAATGACGTTATTATGACGTCATGAACCCCAAGGTGACTGAAATACTCTCCCCAATATACCTTTCCCCATATTCGCGGGGAGTAGCTCAGAAACTAGAGGGGTTAGGTCTTAAGAAGGGCAGGGTTGTGAACAGCACCGAAAGGTCTTCAAGAAAGCTATTTCAGTCCAAAACCCTACAAAATTTGGAAAACTCCCCTTAAGCTTTGCGAAAGTTGTGGGGTGGGACTGGTTTTCTCCCTCCCATGGGATAGTTGATGCTAGTGGGTGCCCAGCTGTGTTCCAGACACTGCCCCCCCCCCCCCCCCCTCCAGACCCATGCTTTTTAACTGGTTTCAGAATGTTTACACCGACATTCTGTCGCTCACGTAACGAAATGAACAGTCACAGGTCGCACGCCCTCTCGATCTCCGATTTTCTAAATCTGCCTGTGATTCCGTGATCACTGCCCGCCAGACAAACTCAGTGGGACAGTCCCTGGTGCAATGAGCCGAAATCGGACTTACACGGTGTCTTGCTCACTCACACACCAAAGCTGGGCCCGAAACCAGGCAAACCGGCGAGCGGTTTCCACGAGACAATACGACAAAGCCCGACACTTTCAACGCCACAACCCTGGAATCGGCCGGGTGCGTGACGGTGTCCGCGCCTCTTACCGTGCCTACGTCGACTCTGGTCTCGGCGCCCTCCATGCTGGCCGTCTGTCCATACACAGACAGGTCGCACATCCCCCGTATCGCACCACGTTCCCTCCCGCTCTCCGTTATGCGTCCGGCTTCTGGGGCCTGGGAGAGGGACCGTTCACGCGCAGCACCAACACCGCCCCACGCCGCCAGCCGCAGCACACTGCGGGCCCGGCCGCGGTGCCCGGCTCGCCAGCCAACCGGCGCCGCCCTGGGAGGGATCGGTCAGCCGGCGGCCAATCAGAGCCGCCACGTGACCGGGAGTGCGCGCGCCGTCTCATATCTCGCTGATATCACGGGATCCGCGGGCTTGAGGCCGGTGTCGGGGTGCGCGCCGCTCCACTTCTGGACAGGGGCGCGCCAGCGACGAGTACCACCCAACTCCATTACCCCTTCTCCAAATACAGCAAGCTTAGGTATTTGGCATCTCTCAGCCTGGAGGAAAATTTAGCTTTAACCCTATGGCGTTTCATGATGCAAGATAAGTTTAACCCTCGTCCGGATTCGCAGTTTTTCATAACACGAACGGAGGGGGCGTTGCGGTCGGTGAGACTCCCTAGCCATTCCCAAGCAAACAATGGTAGAACCTCGCCCCGCAGAAACCACGTGTGGATTGGCGTCAGCGCTATCATGCGATTGCTTTCTTTTTCTTTTTTTTTCACTGTGAAATTGCAAAGTCAAGTGGAGTCTCTTTTCTCCGCCAGATCATCTTTCCACGTAAATGAAACAATTTCAGCTTAACATGTCAAGTATTCATGAAATATCCTTCGTATCAATCACGAAATTTACCAGGCGTGTTTCTTGTCTCATTTTCAGATATTGGTGCGTGATGTGCTGTGTTTTGAGGTTCTACTCGCCTCTCAGCTGCGGCCCTGACTATGAACCGTTATTAAAATATGGACAAAGTCATCACGCGGAGATACGAATTTGATTTACAAAGCCATACCCAAGCATTTCGGAAAGGTTTGTTCCAACTAGTCAATCCTCTCTTACCATATAAACTCCTATCGAATGGCCAACCGCACCCCTGTGTCGGGAGAAAACGAAAATAGAGGGTCCACTATAAGGGCGAGGGAAAAGGTCTGTTTTGTCCCCCACTCGCTTTGCTCACTCCCAGGTGCTGGTGAATCTGGTGGCAACGACAAAGCTTCATATGATTTTTTCTCGAGCGGCTCGGGGAGAGGGAAACGTTTTGGGCAAGGTATAAATTACAAGGTTTTCTTCTCTCTATGTATGTAGCGGGTTCCTTTTGGCGGGCGGCCCAGCCCCCGGGGGATAGTGGTGAGGATGGTGGACGGGATACACCGTGGTTGACGTTGCCCTAGCGACCCACCCGAAAACTGGACAGGCTCCAGCCCTGCCCGGGGTTCGACTGACTGTGGCGCAGTGGGAGCCGTGCCCCAGATTAATGGGTGGAGGTGTGGAGGTGCCGTTGTGAGCTCTTTTGTCTCCCCTGCCACTGAGGGATTGGCGACGCGCGGGGGCGGATTAAAGAGTTTGAACCAGCTGAGAAAGTCTTCAGGTGAGTTTTTCCCGGAACGGCCAAACTTTCCAGAGGATCTTATTATTTTCGAACGAGAAACGTTGGCGCTTTTGTGTTTTTTCATTTCACTGTAACGCTTTAACCTCAAATGATACTGTAACTCGGTTTACTGGTGCCGAATGCACTGCAATTGGATGTACTGAATACGTACTCGGGGACCATTCGGCTGAAGCTAGAGCCAAAACATTACAGATCTGTCACAGAGTAGGGAGAACAGGCAAAACAAGAAGCATACACAATTACTCAGGAGAGAGGCTGGCTGCAGGGATATTAGCTTCCACTAAGAATGACGGCTGGGCCACACCGGCCCGCTCAAGTTCAAAGTTTGTGTCATTGGTCATGTAAGGCTCACAAGGACTACTATCTCGCTCGCATAAAAGCATAACAATATGTGTTTAATCCTATTTGTAGCCTTCACTGCACGCAGTTCGTTGCGCATGACGAAAAATTAATTCTTGTTCCGATTCATCCATTATTTCAACAATGGATGCTTGTAATTCTGCTCACTTCCCGATATTGTAAAGGCACTCAACATCTCGAGACCAACTGACGCCTAGAAATCAAGTCGCAAAGAATACCTGTCTCTGCAGCTCAATGCTGACCCGATTTCCCTCATTGTAGTAAAACAGACCAACTGCCTAATTATCTTGGATTTGCAACGCCTGCAGCATTTGCCATCCTTACCGTTCCGAGCACACGAAATTACAACGTAAAACACAGCATTCCAGTGGCGCGAGCCACCCACGACTGCGCTATCAGGAGAATGACTCTGAAATTGACGTTTAATTGCGCTGTTTGTGCGCTGGGCCCTGAACAGATGTCGCGATACCGCAGCCGCTTAATTGTCACCAAATTGGCCCGTCCCGACGACATGGCCGACCTAATTGTGACGATTGAGCCCACTTGCTGGCCGTAACAGTGCGGAGCGCCGGGAGCGCTGGCTGGTCGGTCCCGCCGCGTCCTCTTCCAGGGCTCAGACCGGCCCCGGCGCGTGCTCGGGGCGGTTCAGGGAGGTCACCAGGCGACTTCGATCACTCTTGTTTGTGAGATTTGTCAGATTGTGTTCAGTCAACTATCTGTCCACTTATCTCAGTGCTTGGTAATTAGGGCGAAGAACCCTCTCGAGCTGGTGACCGTGATGGGGCCGAGAAGTTGAGCAACTCTGGTGAAGTCGATGAAGAGGTGTGGGTTCTGCCTGAGCTTAAACGCCCTTTGCGTGGATGCATTTTTCCCCATAATTTTTTAAGCAGTGGTGAACATTATTCTGATTTCAAAATGCTGTTAAGATCACTTATTACCAGCAGTCTGTTCAGTCTGAAGCGTTGGCCGACATCGGAAAGCTATAATCGACAGCAGTTCTCGTAGACATTTAAAAAAACTAGTATTACGATCCATGCAGAGAGTAAATAAGCACAGAGGTAAACTGACGGACAAAATAGCGAATGGCTGTCAATAGATTGGGAATACCAAGTTTTCCCCAAATATGATTTGTTTGGGCTGGGACAAAAAAACGATATTCTATGCTGCACCTCTTTCACACAGCAGATGTACAGAACATGAAAATCACAAGCCTCTCCCTCTCTTCACTCTTCAGAGGACTCGCCGATACTGGCTCAGTTCAACGCAGTACGCAATGGGAGCATGGTCGCAAGCATGAGACGTCTAGAATGACACGTTTGCTTAAAATAAGTGGGGCTGATTTCTGACGCCGACCTGATAATAAGGGCCTGTTTTCCTAGCTGCTGCTACCATTATTGAGATCATCACCCTTGGTGCTTTTACTCATATTATCAGTTTTGCTGCTTGATCTATTCGAACTCCCTGCCACCCCTGATACAGCAGACTCTCCAACCACCCCTTTTTGACCACCACCCCACAGACACCCGATCACTCATCCTCCAGCTGCCTCTGGTCGTCACCAAGCTCAGCATCGGCATCGTTATCCTGACGCTTCTGATCCAGTCGCATCCTCCACAATACAGCTACCTCTGCTCAATGCGGCCTTCTAAGCCACGCTTGGTAACAAAACCACGCACTCCTGCTCCAGCTGCCACTCCTGGTCCCGCCGCCACTCTTGCTCCAGTCACCACTGCTGCCCCCACCCGAGGCCCAGCCGTCATCTCTCCGCCGCCGCGGTTGTATTGTCGGACTCGGCGGCGAGTAGTGGCGCACAAGTGCCATCTCCGACCCCTTATGCGCCGTAATTGAATTCGAACAAACCACTCGGTCCATTCATTTGGGCCAGGGCGGAAACCCTTGAGCGAATATGCCCACCTAGGTAATCTGCCCCGTCTGAATTAGCCCTGGCGTATGGGACGAAAGATCCGAAGTAACGACGGGGTTTGGTCTCGTAATGATGGGGTCCCAGTCCAAGCCGATAAATTGAATTCCGAAGCGGAAGAGCAAGTGATAAAAGGAATAATTGGCAATGACGCAAAGGGCGCTGAGCACCCCTGATGACCACTGAGAGATCTAATGGGCGGTGAGTGTGATTGTACCGGGTTCATGTCGGCTCGGAGCTAAACCGAAGGTTTCCTGACTTCACTCCGAAAAGACATGAACATGCTTTAGAAAATGTGCCGCTTTGCTGCAGAAACATGTGCAGAAAATTTGGAACCGAGGGGTGGGGGCGCAGCTCAACATTTTCAGCAAATCAAAGCATAAAAAACGAAGATGTTTAGCCGCGTTAATCTATTTTTGGGGATCACCTTCATGAGTCGCCTCTGTTGTAATCTCGTCCGTTCCAGTCGATTCAAGGCGGAGTGACAAAACGGCGACACAGCAGAGCATTGGTGACTGTTGCATGATAGAAATGGTGACACGAAAACTCTTCTTATTCATTTAACAGCTGTCATTTGAAGGAAGTAATCTGTCAATGAATGACTCTGGTAAGACCGCGTTTTGTCCTACCACGCCTGGCACAAAGCGGGGTTGAGTTGCGTCTAAACAACTTGGAGGAGGGGAGGGGAGAACAGAGTGAAGGGTAATGCAATATTGTCGGAAGACGCGAAGCTGGTAGCAAGGAAAAGTCACCTAGTTTCGTCGCTCTAGCTGCAGCGGTTTGGTGATGTGATAGCAAAACCCCTGGCAGGCTGAATCTTTCGCTGACACCGAAAAAGGTTTCGCCTTTGATGCGAACGGTACTCGGAACGGGAGAAATACGATGAGGGAAAAGGCGATACTGTACTGCTAATATAAATAACGCTGCATATAAAGCACCTAGTACTGCTACATAGTAAGCAGCGTACCGTCCGGTCGCCTGGGCGTCACCTCCAGCCGGTCCCAGCCAGGCGCTCTAAGCTGATCACGACGAGCGCCTCCAGCTCGCCGGCCGCCATCTTGACCCACCGCCGAGTCCATCGGATGCCGATCGTGGTCGTCCGATGGCGCGGCTTCACAAAAACGGCCCAGCTAACGGCGCCCATCCATATGTGTAAGGTGTGCCGCCACCGGCCAGCCCGCTGCGCAGAGCTGGGTGGCCAAACCCAGAACGGCGATTTATGATAATGTTTTTATCCGGCGCCGCCCCGGCCGCCGATTTCTCCATCTTTAATTGCTATTTTATCCCGATTTCGGGAGGCATGCGCATAACGCGGCGCG